CATTTCTTGCTGCTCCAGTAGCTCGCCTAGCTCAGGATCAATCCTGAGATAAATAACAATGTTAAACGTCTTATTATAGTGCTGAGCTACCTTCTGAAAAGTGTAAAAAAAGACTTACCTTTTTAATCATCAGTCCTCTTGTGGGTCCTTCCCTGATCGAACGCAGGAATCTTGGCTAAACGGGATAAATCTGTCACTATATGCACCATTCAACATTTTCTAAGTCCGGCCTCAGCAAAAAGAACTATAAATTGGAAATAAATCAATAACTCTAGATAACTAGTGGTAAAAAATGACAACAGTTATGTATTTTTCTATATAATCCGCTCGAAAATTTACTTTGCGGATCCCCGGTATCTAATGCATTCTATTCGTTTTCTCGCATTCATCAGCACAACGATCTCGGAGAAGAATGTTTTTCTGCCTTCCTGTCCGTTTTGTAGAAGTTCTGCCAATGCGGTGGAAAATTCTCGATAAAATGTCAATAGTTCCCGCCGTTTTAAAGCATAGTGCGGTAGATCGTTTTTGGCATACGCAGTAGATCAAGCAACTGCCTTACTAACAGGTCGTCGCTGGGACTTCCCTTCTCATTTTACTCAGCTATGATTTTTTCGCCTACTTTGCTTACCGGCCAGCTCACGGAGAGGGACGATTGATCGCCCTGGCAATACTGTTATTCAAATGGGAGTTTTTCACAACATCGACTGAAACTTAAGATAAAAACGCATGATTCTGATACTAGATTCTGATTCTCTACATGCTAATTTCGTGCTTCCAGCGGTTTTTACGGGTAGTAAAAATGAAGGCAAAAAGCGAGTGAGAAACTAAACATTATTCTGGATGCTACAGCATTATTCAAGGGTGTTTAGAAAATCCGGCGGAGCAGAGTTGTAGCCAAATATCTGAGCTTTCGAATGGTTACTAACACTCCCAGAAAATTATTGTCTAGTGTATAAGACCTTCTCAAAAAAATTTGTCGCCGTCTAACTTTTAAGTACCGAAAAACTTATGCTGTGACTCCAAGCTGACCTCTTGAGAGTAAGAAAATATACGTCAAGCATAGGAGCTTTCTCGAAATGGAATTCATACTCGTTGGTCAAACGCGAGACAGCCATTTTTGATGAGACTCCAGACAGCTCACGATGAAAAATATAACCTAAGAAAAACTCAATGATGAATAAAAAGAAAGATAACTACGGCACAGACACGTGACACAACCTAAGATTGCTCTTTTGGCCCAAGGTCACCCTCTGCGGACTGAGCGGGTCGTTTTCGGTACACGATTTACTAGCAGTCTTTTTCGTTGGGCAGACCTTCTATTGCCAGAATTTGATTGCCATCCGAAAGCTTAGACTTTGGGGATCTCAAATAGTGTGTTTGTTTTACAATAAACCTTCCTAGTGAGCTGTATCATGAAAATAAAATTATTTTTCATAGTCGGAATGCTTTGTTGGCATGGCTACAGCCTGCGGATGGCTTTACATTCCACTATATCAATATTTAGTCGAAACTACGCATATCGAAGATTTTAAAGATAAATTTGTGTTCTTCAGAAGATTTTTATAGAGCGGTCTCAGATAGGAAAAAAATTTCCGTTTTTCCATCGCAGTTTTCTTATCACATAAGGGTCATGGATGTACAAAAAATGCATGAGCGTGTGGAGTAAATTGTATAGTACCAGAAACAATACGAAAACACCCAAATTTTACCCGAAATAATGAAAAAATCCCGCATCGACCGAAACTTCAGATAAAAACAAATAAATTTGATCTTACTAAAAATTTTCTAAAGCTGACATGCTTATCGCGTTTCCAGCAATTTAAATTCTTAAGAAAAATAAGGCGAAATCGAGTGAGGGCAGAATTTTATTCTGGATGCTACAGAGTCATAAAAGGGTGTTTTGAAAAACCCGCGACGTGGAGTTTAGTCAGAGATTTAAACTTCCGACTAATTACTAATACTCATATGAAAAGTTTCTGTGCAGCGATGAGATCGCCACAAATATTTCTTGCCGTCTAACATATAAGTACTACCAAGAATGAATAATATAGTAAGGTTCTCCATTCACAAAAGGAACGGACTACATGTCAAGGACGTACTTCTCCATAGGTACTCACACATTCAGTAATTCTGCTTTCATCAAAAAGCACATTATGACGTAAGCCACTTTGTCTAGCTAAGGGCGAACAGCGACACCTCAGACCGTAGGCTCCCTCAGAAAATAACAAGATAAGTGTCTATAAATCAAAAAAAAAATGTCAGGAATGTTCTGATTCTTACCATTTCGGGATCCTTGAATCATATGCCATCGCAAAGGGCCACTTATCTCCTGTACTTCCGGTCAAATTGAATTTGATAAAATCGATAATGGATAGGAATAACTGAGAAATTTCAATATAAAAAGTATAAATGGTAAAGCTCTCGGCGCTGATTAATCCTAAGAGAATTTGACGTATAATCGACTCCATTTGTAGCATCGTTTGAGGTGATCGATGCATAGCTAGCTCTCACAATGACTGGCGGTAGCCTACCCAAGTATCGAGTCAGTCTGTTGTACTTTCAGACACCAAGGGATGGAAGGCTTGGTGAGCTTCGAGAGCGAGATCGAACGATCGACCAGGCGTGTCGCGACGCACCTCTAACCATTGTGCCCTTATTTCAAAATAGTCAGCTTTTTATATGTCTCACAATTATTATTTGAGTCAACATCTCATGTGGTCTGTCATGAGCACTTGTACAGCCCAATACACGTGTTTCGACCTTGAACAGCCCCATCAGTCGGGCAGGCCCATCGTTTCTAGCCAAGCCTCTCGGGGTGCTCCAGTCCCCTTAAATAGGGTAGGCGATGATGTTAGGTTTACACGTGTATTCAAGTGAAATAAATCACTAAATCGGCAGTGCTGTGCACTCTGTATAAGAACCCACAACAGAGCACATGACATGTTGGCTTCATTAGTATTTAAGAGATTTTGAAATTCGACCGTGGTCTTGACAAAGCACTAGAAATGAAATGTATAATATTTTAAAAACACTTTTTTACATTTATATAGTGTGGCATCTGTAACTGACAACGCTGAAAGGTCTGCCTCAGTTCCTCTGCATCTTTAACCCAGCAACATGCCACTGTTAGACGCAGCATCCTGCCAGTGTTGAAAGCAGCAGCGTGTCATTGTCAGACGCAGTATGCTGGGGTTGGCGATGCAAGAAAGGTGAAGCGGACCATCCGGAGTTGCGAGTTAGAAATGAAGAGACCGTAAGTCCGCGGTCCCGAAAGAATTAAGTGTAACAAATAGGTATAGCTTCACCATGGCACCATACAGTATTTGCAGAACGAACGTCAAAGATCAGCTCTGATTCACCTGCAAAGCGTGAACACCATACAGAATCGCTTTGATCGCCATCCATCGAAACAGCACGAGCACGTTTCTACAGCTTAATCTGCAGTCAATGGTGCTTTTTAAAGCTTGATTTCATGTATGCATTTCTTTGGAGAAAAATCTAACCTGCAATAGTTTTATCTCTATTTTTTCGCTATGCCGAAATCAGCGATTTGGCAGATTCTTTTGCTTGTAAGCAGCACGCTCGTAGCCGCTGAGTCTCTGTGAATGCACTGAAAGTATTAACAGAAAAAACCCTCCATACATGTCGAAATCGTAAACATTAAGCCGTCCCATGTATACACTCTGCAAGTTGGCAATGTCTGCGACATAGCTCAATCAACTATCAAAATATACTGAGTTCATTCCACTGTTGTCAACTAGAACGAGAGAGAGAAACTTCTCAAAAACGTACAAGTAGAGAAGAGAGATATTCCATCCCATTCGCAATATGCATGGCGAAGGAAATCAAATCACTTGTCGCCAACACTCCATAGCCTGCCTAGCTCAGTATCAATCCTGAAAAGATGAATAACAATGTTAAACGTCTTGTTATAGTGTTAAGCGACCTTCTAGAAACGCTGAAAAAAACTTGCCTTTTTAATCATCAAACTTCTTATGGGTCCTTCTCTAATCGAGCGTAAGACTCTTAGCTAAATGGAATAAACCCGTGGTTATATGCACCATCCAACATTTTCCGAATCCGTCCTCAGCAAAAAAAATCCCAAATCAAGAACGGATTAATAACTTTGGATGGCTAGTAGAAAAAATGAAAACAGTTATGCATTTTTCTATATAATCCGCCCGAAAATGTACTGTGCTGATACCCAGCATTTCTTGCATTCCATTCGCTTTCTCCCACTCATGGTCACAGAGATCTCCAAACAGAACTCTTCTTTTGATCTAACCGCTTTTAGAGGTGGTATGACGGTGTAGATATACCCAGTGATGTAAAGCAATGAGCAAAACTTTTGCGTCAGGCAGTACTCAAACCCACATCTTACTCTATCCGGGAGCGTATCTATAACCCGTTGCACTACTGACGCCCGTTATTCCATCATAAATGCCTTGTACCGTAAAAAGCTTGATGGCAAAACGGTCGCCAGTAGTTAACAGGTTGGAGCACGCAGTCCCTGAGAGACTGACATGTGGGTTCGAGTCCCGGTTGACGCAAAAGTTTTGCACTTCGCTCTACATTACTGGATAAAAGTTCCTAAGAAAACCAACAGATTAAAATCACAGTAAATACCTATTAAATATAACAATTTTAGCACTTTTGCGTAATCGCAATCCATTTTCAAATCTTTTAAGGACAAGGTTCTTTCTGTTCCTTTTTCAGACTTTTAGTAGTCATTTGAAAGCTTGAACGCTCTCAAAAGACCTTTTTAAAAACTACTATAATATTAAAGTCTCGCTAAGGTTCAAACTATAGACAGACTAATGAAAGTCTGAAGAAAAAGTGAAAAAAGGCCTTGCCTCCAAAGGGTTGAAAAATGGATTAAGATAAAAAAATTGTACCAACGTTTTTACTTACTGCTCTAAGAAGAGTGTTATGATGTTGCAATTACATATCCATGGATGCTAACTTATATGCAAAACAATCGACTACCAGACAGGAGTTGAACTCTAGTGGTGTAGTGGTAGCACACGCGCCTCTTATGGGTAGCATGCGGGTTCAACTTCCGCCTGGGGTCAAAGTTCTGTATATTACCTAGCATCAATGAAGTATTCCTAAATGATAGTCTGGTTTTAAGTATGACATGTTTGTGACGAATAATACCTCACTCAGAGATAAAATGTGGTATTGAGTGGGAGATTGGGCAACCATCATATATGCCAAGTGCACGAAGCAACTCGTCGTAGAGTTATAGTAAATCGACTAATAGATACTGATGAAACATATTCATCTCTTCATCGGTGAAAGACTGAAAAAAAGACTTCTGTTACGAGTCTGAGTTGACCTCTTGAGAGTAAGAAAACATACGTCAAGTATAGAGGCTTCCTTGAAATGGAATTTATGCTCGTTGGTTCAACGTGAGACAGGCATTTTAGGTAAGACTCCAGGCAGTTCACAATAAAAAAACACCTTAAATCCAGAACGACCTGTATTAGATGAGGTACACCACTGTTTGAAGGCCTTTCTCATTAGACAAAAATTTTTCCTTAGACATTTGATAACCGTTCGAAAGCTTGAATATCTGAGCCTTGTTGTTACGTTGCAACAGCAGAAATAAAACTGTGTTCCATACCCGGTTTGCTTTATTTGCTCGGCAGGGACCTGTATATGGCCTCTCACCAAACTGTTACTTGTCATTCGACGACCCGAATCTCGAGAATTTCGAAGATGTTATTGGATTTTGAAAGGTTATCCATGAAAGATGTGATGGCGAAAAGAAGATTACGTAGGGCACACAAAGTTTTTATCGTACAGAAAAGTTATATGAGCGTGAGAAGCATATGACCACGTAAAGAAAACCATGGGTATCAGACTACAAATAGAGGAAAAACCCAAATTAAATAACGAAGATCGCACTCCCATTGCGATTTGCGCTGTGAGATTGACGAGCTGCAGTCGCCAAGGTTTAAAAACTGACTGATGAAAAGCAAGGTACAGACACTTGACAGAAACGAAGACTGCGCTTTTGCCCAAACATAACCCTGTGGGGATGCTGAGAGTCGTTCTCGGTCCAAAACCAAGATGGGTGCTTATCTGTTAGACGGCCACAAATTATCAGCAGATCTCATTCGCTGGACAAAAACTATTCATAAGAGCTTTAGTAATTATTCAAAGGCTCAAATTTCCAACTACCAGTTCACATTTTTTTACATTGCCGGTTCTCAAAGCATTCTTTCATAACGCTGTAGCGTACAGAAAAAATTTTGTTTCTTTCTCGCTTCTCGCCTTCATTTTTACCACGCGTGGGCGTGATAGGCATTTTAGGCAATACTGCAGGCAACTCAAGTTTGAAAAATACCTTAAGAAGAACTAACTGGTGAGTAAAAAAAAGGAAAACTACGGCACAGACACGTGGCACAACCCAAGATTGCTCTTTTGGCCTAAGGTTACCCTCTGTGGACTGAGCGGGTCGTTTTCGGTACACGATTTACTGGCAGTCTTTTTCGTTGGACAGGCCTTCTGTTGCCAGAATTTTGATTGCCATCCGAAAGCTTAGACTTTGTGGAAGTCAAACAATGTGCTTGTTTTACAGAAAAAAACCTTCCTAGTGAACAGTAGCCCAAAAATAGAATGATTTTTCATAATCGGGATGCTTTGTTGGCATGGCTAGAGCCTGCGCATGGCTTTACATTCCACTATATCAATATTTAGTCGATACTACGCATATCGAAGATTTTAAAGCTAAATATGTGATCTTGAGAAAATCTTTATAGAGCAGTCTCAGATAGGAAAAAAATTTCCGTTTTTCCATCGCAGTTTTCTTACCATATAAGGGTCATAGATGTATAAAAAGTGCATGAGCGTGTAGAGTAAATTGCACAGTTCTAGAATAATGCAAAAACCCCAAAATTTACCCAAAATAATGGAAAAAACCCCAACCAAAGAAAAATGAAAATGGCGGCGCTGTTTATAAATCAACCAACGGCCGTCCGCAGACTAGCGATATCATTGTCATAAGAGTGAACGAAAAGATGGCCGAGTTGGAAAGAAAACGTGCCGAGAACCCTTAGACATGCCATTCTCCAGGATGACATGTTGGGCTACGAGTACCTTCTTTCAATGGATCCGAAGGTCTGGTAAAATCTCAAACATAGTGATACGGCTTGGTTGCATTGCTGAAATATCATCGAATAAAAAGAACAAATAGGAAGTAGGTTCCTAGAGCTTTTTAGACCGAGATAGGCCATAACAGAAACGAAAAAAAAACAAGGTAAATCTGAATGCTAGAATAACTGGGACTCGCACAGTGCAAAGAAATTGCGAAGGAGGATTAAGTAAAAGTGCCAGATCGAAAAAAAGAACTGGTATGAGAACTTTCAGCATTCAAATAGTCTCCTCGTTTCAATCGGTCGATTGAGGGAGAATCTGTTTTTTTTTCATGACGTCGCAGTGCACTGGTTGAGCACGTTTCCTTGCAATATCAAAGATAGCTGGGCTGAAGCACTGGTTCTTGATTGTCGGAGAGTGTCAGTGAGTGGGGAATCAATTCTGCGCTGATGACTGACTAGCCAGTCAGTCATTAGCCCATAATCGGCTCCGCTAACCAAATCAGACTTACGAATTCGAGTTAATATTGACTGCACGTAATCAAAAAAAGAAAGGACATAACTGAGATAAGAAATAGGCAAACTTTAATGGGCACAAGTCGGTGGAAACGATAGTACCAACGTTATTTCAATTGTGTTCTGAAGGAAGCAGAACTTCTAGTTTGCTGTCTTAGGGTTAACGAGGGTAGGTATTAGCCCTTTCCGTTTTGAATAGTTTTAGAAGGTTGCTAGGAATATTTGTAGGTTTTTATATGACGCTATTTCTAAGCAGAACTTGGAAAAACATGTCCGAACGGACTACCCATTAGATTACCAAAGTAGGCAAAAAATAGTCTATTCTAGTATATCGGGGATATTACCCAAAAAAAATTTCGCTACTGACAAAAAAAAACTGAAGGAATAAGACAGGCGCGGGTAGAGCAATGGCAGAGCTGCCGCGCATTACAAAAGTGGTACTGGAGCTCAATCCCCAAGTGGGCGCAGCAAACTTCCCCGATCTTTAGGGTTGGAAAATTCGGTGACAGAGTTGTTGTCTGCGATTGACTCATTCACTCCAAAATATGAAAGTAATGACCACAAAACGGCACAGTTCTTGCCCGTTCTTATATAGCAATTTTGGAGTTAAGAGATTGAGTCAAGAGATGAGTAAGAAATTTTCATCAAGAATTTCATTTCATCGAGTATTTTCAAACCTCGCTATTTATTCAGTTAATACACGACCCGTCATCACAATTTTCATTTTGCGAATCCCAATACTTCTAGCGTTCGATTCCTATTTTTTGTCTTCTTCTTGAACGATGTAGAATACTCATCGAGCATGTCACCTTGCAATCTCAAGGATAGCCTGGCTGTGGCGTTCCATAAGGCGCTCTTGTTGACTGTCAGAGAGTCTTAAGAGGGGAGGGAGGGGGGGGGGGGGGGGGAGAGGAAGTGGAGCCTAGCTTTACGCTCGCCGCAACGAGCATGACTATCACTCGGCCATGTCTCCCCCAACCTCACTATGAGCATTATATAATCTGTGAGAATGTATGAAGCCTCAAAATTCGACGTCAGTGGCTCATCTACTTTTTGATCATATCGCCCGCTTCATCGGAGCCACACGCCCCACACTGAAACACGCCCTTGTGGGTGGGATGGGGAGCTGTCATGGTGATAGCATTAGATAATGTGTTATCATCATTTTCTCAATTGTGCATAATCACTACGAGTCGCTATCCATTGACTGAAAAAATAGTGATAAGACAATGTCGCGTGATATCATCACAACGTCTCCCTATCCCATCTACAAAGCAGGGTTCGGTATGGGGCATGTAGCTGTGAGGAAGCGTGCAATCTCGCCGAAATCTACGCAAGCCACTGATGTGCCAATCTCGAAGAGGTTCTGAACATTCTTACAAATCTCTTAACAAAAGTCTTTTCAAGGTATCGGCTGGTAGTGATAGATAATCTAATACCAGGGGATAGGATGTCAGAAAAATTTAGGTGGCCACTGTTCAGCTTACACCGTAAGTTCTCTTAAACTTTTTCGCCACCATTTTCGGCGACTTCGCCCTCTTCTGGATCGGTGCTGCTAACATCCGACGCGACGATATTGTCGAGATTGGAGAAAATGATGCTAGAAACGGATGAAATTTATCCATTATCGCTGTGATAGAAATAAGATAGTCCAAAATAGCAAAAACAAGCAGTCTGACAGAGAGAGAGAGTTTTAAGTCCATCAGAGGAGTGGCATGGTGTCTCTAAAGGCAGGTGAGATGGACGTTTCGGCTTTCTAGCATGCTAGCCAGTAGCAACACATGTCATTCGGTCGCTCGACGCTGCTACTATTGGGAACCGTTGTTGAAGAAGTATCCCTTCATGTCAAGTGAAATGATCACTTGCTGTTGTCTTGTTTTGGAGCGATTGATTGTCACCTGCATGGCTTACGGTTGCTATGGGGCATATGAAACATTACCTTCCGATCGACTATTTTTGAGATTCGCCTAAAAATCCAGTGTAATCTGATAGAATATTCTAAGCTTTTCAGAGAAAAGATAACAAAGGCTCATGAGGTCGACAAGAGGCAAAAAGCAGTCAGTAAAAAAGGTTTGGTTGGAATAGTATCAAACAGAACAATTCACATCCAGTTCAAGCCATTTTTGTTGTTTGGAAGATTTTTCCGTTTTTCGCATTTCTTTCGCTGCGGTATAAGTAAACTAACGGTAACTAAATGAGATACAAGTAGTAGATAAAATCAAGCGGTAACTAGTAAACAGTAATTGAGCTACAGTAAACTATAGCGGCAGCACGAAGGTTAAGGTAGAGATCAAAATTCTCTTAAATTACTAGATAGGTTTCGTGTGAACGAAAAATCGTTCAAATCGCAGAAGAATGCAGCTTGTCCAAGCTTGTCCTGACGAGGTAATTTGTTGAAATACGATTCTTTGAGAAGAAAAAAAAAATGGTGCTCACATATAAGACGGCAATAAAT